GATCCGTGTGTAGTTAAATTCCATATTAAATTTAATGTGAGTGTTCATTTTAAATTTCAGTCATAACTTTTGTTTAGATTCAAACAGATCAATTGATATGTTCTTAATTTCGGCGTGGATATCATTTTGAACATATTTTTCCAACATTTTTAATCATATAAGTAACTAAATTCCAAAGAAGTTTGATGTGAGTTTTCATTTTAAATATCATTCGTAGATTCAAATTTTTAGTCATAATTTTTGTTTAGATTCAAACGAATCGATTTGATATGATCTTAATTTCGGTGCGATTATCATTTTGAACATCTTTGTCAACATATTTAATCATATAAGCAATTAAATTCCTGATAAGTTTGATGTGAGTTTTCATTTTAAACTTCATTCGTAGCTTGGCGCGAACATGATTTTTAATATTTTATTTTTGTGAATGTTTTTTAATGATATAAGTAGCTAAATTCCATATAAGTTTGATGTGGGTTTTCACTTTAAACTTCATTCATAGATTCAATTTGAATCGGTTTGAAAAAATGTTGATTTTGACGCAAACATGATTTTTAATATTTTATTTTGTTTATGCTTTTAAGCATATAAATATAACTAATTTCAAATAAATTTGATGCGAGTTTTTATTTTAAAATTTATCCATAGATTCAATCTGAATAGATTTTTAAAAATGTTGATTTTGGCGCGTAAATGATTTTTAATATTTTTTAAAATGTAAATAACTAAATTCTAAATTAAACTTAATGTGAATATTCATTTAGTTAACTTTGTTCAGATTGTATATCTTAATATAAAATGGCACGAATAGGATTTTTAATACTATTCACAAGGATGGTTTTAATCTTGAACCCAAGCAAAAATTATGACTGAAATATGAAAGGAACACTCACATAATGTTATATGAACTAGTATCCAACTTGCTTACATCTCCTAAGTCTATAGTTCTTCTCCATCATTCAAACTTAATTATCAAATAGCGTTTACAATTATAATCAGCAAATTTTGAATATTATGGGTCAGATTAATTTGTAGGATATATATAATTTGTTTAACTTAATATATATGATTGCCATACTTTCATAATGTTATACGCGTAATGTGGTAGTATTCATCCTATGCTACACACAAAACAACTTCATGGGCATAGATAAGACTAGAGCCAAGAGGGTCACAACCTTGTGAGCTATTCACAGTTGGCTCATTGGATCGGCTTCAAAGGCTCTCTATTTATAATATCAAAAAAAGACATTCCAACAAACCCATTAAATCAATACGTATTGCATATTCCTCCTATATCAAATGATAGAATTCAAATGGTGTTTAATTATCGGTACTAAACCGGGAAGCAAAATAAAAAAAAAAATTTCTCTTACCCTCGAGTAATTAGTGTTGTCAGGCCCAATCGTAAAGCTTAAAAGGCTTTATACATCGATATAAATAATTTTATTATCGGCCCAAATCCAATATAAACGTGAACAACACAATCTAAGAGACACGTGGCTATACATCGACAAAGTCTTTGAAAATAAATATCCTTTTTCATCTTCCATTATTTTGTTTTTTCTGGTTTCGCGATAGTCCCAAAACTCTTTTAGAACGGAAAGCGAAATTTGATCTGGAAAAAAAAAGCAATGAGCTACGACAAAGTCCCACCGGAATCGTATCCTCCTCCAGGTTTCTGAATCTTCACTTCTCATTCTCATGTATATTCATTTTCGATTCGATTCGATGATCGTACAGTTTTTGATTCTCTGATTTTTGATCGATTTTAGGATACCAATCTCACTATCCGCCTCCGGGTTATCCATCGGCGCCGCCACCTCCGGGATATCCACCGCAGCATCACGAAGGTTATCCTCCACATCAGCATCACGGATATAATCAACCGTATCCACCACCGTCTTCACGTCCTTACGAAGGCGGTTATCAAGGCTACTTCGCTGGACCCGGAGGTTATCCTAATCAGGGA